CTGAGCTGATAGATGATTGTGCTCAGGTGGTAACTTTCCTCTCTCTTGCCATCTCCTTCCCTTCAGGACATATCCCAGGAGACACTGCAGGGAGGAAATCTGGCTCACTACAGCTGTTGAGCAATGGGCTCAAGCCCTGAAGGGCAGCAGGGAGGATGATGGAGCTGAACAGCCACCCTTGCTTCCTGCTGCAGAGGGGGCAAGGAGGGGGCTGCATGATCCATGCTCAGATAAAAGGGAGGGGGCATCAGGTAGGCAGCAGTGCCCAACTGGAGGCAGTGCCTCTCGGTGGATTCCCCTGCTTTCTTGCTTCTGCTCGCAAGAGGGGTGCCCAACCCAGCACCCACCTGAGCACCTCCCTCACTAGCAGCAGTTACAAGGGGAAGATGGCAGTTGCCCCCACTTTCTTGTTCCTGCTTGCCAGGGTTGGGGACACCTCTCTAGCAAGTGGAGTGGAAAGGGGTATTAGTTGAGTAGTGCTGCCCCAAACTGGTCACCATTGACCGGCTGACTCTTGTCCCCTCCGCTCAGGTGTGCGAGGGGCTGCCCTCAGGCATGGGTCTGTGAGGGGCAGTGGGGGAATCGGCTAAGCAGCAGTGCTCCTTTTTGCAGTGCCATCCAACTGATCGCCTGCTTCTGCCCACAGATCATAGGGCAGGAGGTAGGCAGAGCCAGGGCACCTCCGACAGCCACGCAAAATGGCAGCTCTCAGTGGTGCTCTCTGACTAGTCTCTTGGCAGGAGCAGAAGCAGTCTGCAAATCTCAAGTTTGAAACTGGGGGCTTCTCTACCTGACAAGTTTATTCTGCTGCTTTGTCAAGACTTCTTTTATTTTCACTGCAGGAGGAAAAATGTGTCCTTTACACTGGAGTTGGTTTTTTTTGAAAAAGTTTTATTCTTAATATACCTAACAAAAAGAGGAAAAAAGCATCAATCATCAAAGACATCAGACCTACTGGATCAGCCCCCCACATTTTTTCTTTTTATTTCTTTTCATTTATTTCTTTAAAGTATTTATATGCCGTCCTGTTGCAAAAGCCTCAGGACAGCTCACACAGATAAAATACAATAAAACATAATATAAATAAATTTTATGTTAAACTATAAACATATTTAAGTCTATGCATAGTCCCGTTTCTCTAGCCAATGATAAAAAGAGTCCCAGGTTTGATAGAAGTCTGTATCTTCTTTCTCCCTCAGAGACAAAGTCAATCTGTCCATTTCAGCACAGTCCAAGATCTTTTTTAGAATCAGTTCATCAGTAGGTGGCTCTTCACTCTTCCAGTGCTGGGCAAATGCAATCCTCGCCACAGTAGTTACATGTAGAGTCAAATACATTACTTGTTTTCTAAGATCATCACGTACATTGCCTAATAAGAAAACTTCAGGTTTAAATGTTAGAGGTTTTTGTAACATTTCCTCAAGCCATTTGTGTATTTTAATCCAATACTTTTTTGCCTTATCACAGGTCCACCACATATGATAAAAAGTACCCAGTTAGTGTTCACATTTCCAACATCCATTTGACATATTTGGAAACATCTTAGCTAACCAATTTGGCAACAAATACCATCTATAAAACATTTTATACAGATTTTCTTTGTATGAGGTTGCTAATGTTACTTTAATATTTCTTTCCCACAGCTTTTGCCTTTTCTCTAACTCAATATTATATTCAAAATTTGTGCCCACGTTATCATAGTTTCCTTAACCTGTTCATCTTCCATTCTCCTATCCAATAGGAAATTATACAATCTTTTAATCATTTTCTCATCTGATTTAAGAATCACACGATCAAATGCTGTTGACTCCTTATAAAAGCCCCACATTCTATAGTCTTTAGCATATCTCAATTGCATTTGAACCTTGTGCTACCAAGAAATATTAATCCCTTGTTCTTGTATTTCTTGATTCAGTTTTAATCCTCCATCATTATCCAAAATATCATCATATTTCACGATCGTATCAAAATTCAATGCATTTGGATATACAAGAGCTTCCATAGGCAAAAGCCATCTTGGTAATTTAGTATACAGTTTTGTCTTTAACTTTTCCCACACTGACATTTATGATTTCCTAATATAATGATTTAAGAAACAACCTTGTACCTTATACTTTTCATACCACATATAAGCGTGCCAACCCATTTGCAAATCATGCCCTTCAAGATACAAGATTCTCTTATTTCTTAAAGTTATCCATTCTTTTAGCCACGTTAAAGCAGAAGCTTGATAATACAACATCCAATCAGGAAGACCAAAACCCCCATTCTCTTTAGCCTCCTGAAGCATTTTTAATTTAATCCTTGGTTTCTTCTTTTTCCATATAAATCTCAAGATTTGGGTATTTAAATCGTCAAAGATTTTTTTTATCAATTTTATGGGTTTACACTGGAGTTTCTATTAACCACAAGGTGGCATGGTGGTATAGTCACAGGATAGTGGATTACCAACCTCCTACAAGCCTTAATTCCAATATGTTGCAGTTTAGAATTTAATACCAGACTTTTCTTGCTCATCTAACTATCTATCTAATATTTTTATCTATTTCATTTTTATTCTGCCAAATAGCCGAGGCTTTCTGGGTAGTTAACAAAAGTTAAGAAACACACACACACACACACACATGCACACATTAACTTTCAACTACAAAACCACAATAGCAATTGTAATTGAATCAGCATACAAGCATAGTAGTCATACAGAATAAAATGCAATTTAAAAATAAAGTTGAAAAGTTAAACTGTTAAAATGCTGGGAGAATTAAAAGGCATGGAAATGAATGCAAATTAGGCTCCAGTCATACCTCTTTGGGGAGTCCATTCCACAAATGGGGTGCCACAACCACAAAGGCCCTCCTCCTGGTAGCCACCTGCCTCAGGGTCCCAGGAAAAGGACCCCCAAAGATGACCTCAGGGTTCAGGCAGGTACATATGGGATGAGGCAATCCTTCAAATACCTGGACCCATGCCATTGAGAGCTTTGAATGTTAGTATTAGCACTTTGAATTGGGTCTGAACTTCAACTGGCAGCCAGTGGAGCTGGACGAGGTCCAATTTAATATGTTCTCATGAGCCAGGCCTCATTAACATTTTTGCCACCACTTTCAAAGGCAGCCCCATGTACAGCATATTGCAGTAATTCAAACAAGCGTTTACCAGAGCATGGACAACTGTAGCCAGGCTCTCTCTGCCCAGGTAGGGTTCTAGTTGGTATATCCACTGAAGCTGATGAAAGGTACTCCATGCCACCAAGACTGCTTGTGCTGCAAGTGACTGCTTTTGGTTCACAGCTTTTGAGCACCCCGAACTATGAACCCTGTCCTTTAGAGGGAGTGCAACCCCACCCAGAATGGGTTGAATATCACCCAACTGGACGGATGAACCATGCACCTATAGCACCTCCAGCTTTCCTGGATTGAGTTTTAGTTTGTTGTCCCTCATCCAGTCCATTACCAACTCAGCAATTAGCCAGGCAGCACGCGAGGTGGTGATCATCTAGGCAGGGTAGCTGAGCACTGGGTAGCATGCGCTGGGAGAGAGGACAGGAAGCAGCAACAGGAAGGAGCCACCGTGTATTCTAATGGATAGGGGCTTTGCGGAGCTGGAGGGAAAAGGCAGTGGCTGGCTGAGAACACACCTGGGGGAATATGTGGGCCAGCAGGGGAGAGGCAGGTAATGCAGGCAGGAGCAGTGCCTGGGCTTGGTTCCCAGCCATGGGGGCTGATACCACCATTTGTTGTTAAGACAGAGGCATGCCCAGACTAGGTACCTCACAAACATGTGAACACAAGGTAGAAAAGGTAACTGTGCTGTGATCATTCATGTTATGTGTGAACAGTCCCAATGCCTCATTTAAGAAACTCTGGATCAAAACTGCAGACCTCCTGGTCACAATATCTGGCCAGATTTTACACTCCCTCAAACCTGCTTTCTACAGGTACTACGTAACATGATGAAGTTTTTTGGAGAGTGTCAAAGTTTGCCCACTGTATTGCATTTTGGTTGGATTTATTAGAGGTATTGCCCAGCTGTGAATGTTTATAATTAACTTACGCAGTGCACTATGTGTGGGTGGCTTTAACAAGAGATCAGGTGAATGTCCAGAGGAGCGCTCTAGTGGTGGCTGTGAGCCATGAGATCTCAATGGACATGCTTGGTTCAGAGGCAGCATCCCTCTGCTGCCCAGCTTCTGGTGGGCAGAGAGCAGGAGAAGGCTATTTCCTTCCGCCTCAGTTTATTAGTTTCCTTTAAGCATCTGACTATGCTGTCTCACTATCTCAAGCTGCAAGTCTATACTTGGTTACCTGAGTGTAAGCCTCACTGAATTCAGTGGCACTTGCTTCAGTGGCACTTGCATTCAGTGGCACATAATGCATAGGATTACGTCACTACTCTAATGGTATATCCTGCTAACTGGACCCTGCATGTGACTCCTAATAACAAAGCTTATCTCGCCAAAAAAAATTAAAGGCCATCTAGTGTTGTTGTTAGTCGCGAAGTCGCGTCCGACCTATCGCGACCCCATGGACAACATTCCTCCAGGCCTTCCTGTCCTCCACCATCCCCCAGAGTCCATCTAGTCTAGCACTCTATTAATGGGCAGGATATGTGCTTGTCTCCCCTACAACCCTCTCCCCTGGGAAACAGGGTCTGTCTCAATATATGATATATAAAACAGCTTCTGTATTTCTTTGCCATGTGTCCACTTCAATTAAAATACATAATTCTGTTAAGAAAGAACTGAATTGTGAAAGAGAGGGTGGAAGGGCATTATTACTGTCATTTGTAAAAGCACACATATATAACATACCATGCTGTCTGCTGTATCCCAGTATTTCTGGACTGATCATCAGAAGCAGGACCTCTTGCAGATTATTAAGCATTGTCTGACAGTGTGGTGTCACCAGAAGGAAGCTCTTCTGATAGATGCTTATTCAACAAGTACAGTCACCTGTTGCCACCTCCTGCCTCCCAGCCAAATTCACTTTTTCTGAATCTGACCTTCCCATCTCCTCCCAGAGCTGTCTGAAGAGAAGGACCACGCCAATAACTGCAGAGAAACCTACCATGACCAGATAGCTTTGTCCTGCTGGCCTGAGTTTCATGTTGCCATCATGGCTACAGCCGACAGTAAGAGATGCCTCTGGGAAACAATTGGCAGGTATAGATCTCTGAAGAGCAGAGTGGGTTCTTGGTACTATAAACCTTTTGTAGTCTTCTTTTGCCTTTAGTCCCTTTTTAAAGGGTACGCAGAAAAGGACACAACTCAATAAAAGAAATCAAAGTGGAACTTTTAAAATAGCCACTGATTCCCCCACTGTTTTTTTTTTCCTGTGTGAAACTTGTAGGTCCCATGCTGCCTGCTTATGCTAGTCCAGGAAAGAAGAGGGAGAGTAGAAAAGCTATTGTTGAAGGAATGGTGCACAGTTAAAACACTGTGCCTGAATACAAAACAATTCCTGTGCAAACAGAAAAAGGGGCAGAGCATTCTTGCTGATGCAGAGGGCTTGTAGCTCAGTGGCAGAGCAATTGCTTTGCATGCAGAAGGTCCCAAGTTTGATCCCTGACATCTCCAAGTTGGGCTGGAGAAGTTCCTTCCTGAAATCTGGAGAACTGCTACCAATCAGTGTCAATGGTCCTAAGCTAGATGGGCCAAGGAGTCTGGCTTAGTTTTAAGGAAACTTTCTTAAATTGTTACTATTATTAATATTATTTATTTGATTTAAATTCCACCTTTTTTCTTACAAAGAACTCAAAGCAGCTTACATAATACTGCTCCTGCTCTCAGTCTTTTCTCCACAACAGCCCTGTGAGATAGGTTGGGCTGAGAGTCTGTGACTGGCCCAGAGTCACCCAGTTGTCTCCATGGCCGAGCGGGGACTAGAACCCAGATTGCTTTTAACCACTACACCACACTAGCTCTCTTTTTACAAGGCTTTCATGTAACTGTTACTTTCAGGAATGGTGTCTCTCATTTGCCTCACATGGTAGTTGGCATCACTCTACAACATATTTACATCCAAGATCTGGAGAATTGGTAAAGAGAAAAATTGGAGTACCTAGAACCGACAAGACATGTATGCATGGCTGCTTGTGTGAAGTCACTGGAGGACATTTGTGCTCCATGAAATTTAGGCCAATAACCATATCAACAAAAAGTGCCCCAAAAGAAAGGTTTTGTCAACATAATTGAGTGAGATTGCCTAGAACATGTGGGAAGCTGCTGCACACAATTCATGACACAAGTTTTGCTTTCAGCACCAAACACAGCACATTGGATGTAAGAAGATTAATTTCTAAGTGATTTGCCATGCCCCTGAATATAGGTACTAGTAACTCTCCAAAAGCTATTTGCCTTTGTCTCATGGAGTAACATTCCAGTTCCAGAAGAGGAGTGGAGGTAGAGGGATTGTGGCGGCTGAATCATGGCCTCATAAAGATGTGGCCCTAGAATGTTCTTCGGTTAGCCCTGCCACATGTTAAATAGACAGGAAACTGTCTCTGAGCATCCATTCAGCTTATTACTCAGGTGGCATATAATTAAAAAATCTCGGTAAATTAACTAAATTAACAGTACAATCTTATGCTCAATAGACAGAGTCTAGATGTGCATAGAATTTTTCAGAGCCCCAGCTGTGAGGTCAAGAAAGTGCTCCAACCTTGTAGCTGGGTCTCAGAACTTGGAGCACCATCCCCATCGATATGGAAAGAAGTATTCCAGCTGCATCTCCAGAATCAGAGTTCAGTGAGTGCTCTGGAGAGTGAAGTGCCTCCATAGTGCACAGCCCACTTTCCTTGCACTCCAAGGCACAACACTGAGATGACCAAAATTGGCCACCCAAGCGTTTTGCAGGGTGAGAGGAGCATAAAGATAACCTTCACTTCTACCACTCCTGCCTTGCAGCGGATGTCCATAATCCTCCAGGTATGGATGGATGGTTGCAGATTGCTAGATTTGATTGCATCATAATGATGCATGCATTTGCTCTACATGAATTTCCATGCTAATTAGACAATACATTTGCAGGAATATCGTACTTCCTTTGTCCTTAGGTTATGCATGTATATGTCACAACAGGTACCATCCTGGACTATGCATTCCATTTTGTGTAAGGTGATGCAGATGGTGCAGACCATTTGTAATTTCATAATTATATTTAAAAGCACTGATTTTTGGTAAGTTCTTTTTTTCAAAAGTATTTAGCCCAACTAAACAGGAATGAATTTCAGGCCAATTAAAATGCTTTAAGCCAATTAACATGTAACTATTAACGGTTGCAACCTTGACCATTTTGAATTAGGAGGAGGCAGATCTTCTTTATTATGTGGCATGGCTTTGCAGCACATTCGAGCCCCACCAGGGTCTATCTCCTGCAACTGAAATCAGGAAAGGCTTTGCAGAAGAAATGGGTGCAGAGGGAAAAAATGGAGAGGTAGGACTCTTCCAAGGAGTAGAAATGGAGAGGTCTTTCCAGACATAAGTAGCTGATTGTAAAAAGGGTCCTGCTTCTATCGAACAGCTCTTGCTTGTGACTTCCTTACTATGCTTCCATTTTTCTCTTTACAGCATGTATGGAGAACTTGCTCTCTGTATTGGATTGCTGGCTGAAGGTATGGGCTGCCCTGTGTCCAGCCCCATTTTGGATGCCTTCTTTATGAGAATCCATGCTGAGTACTTTGCAAATTGCTCTCTGCCCATCCACACCACTGATCTCCAGCCATCTACAGGAACAGTCATAATCCTGACTTCACTATCTGTCTGCCTGGTGCCCCTCTTCGTTGCACTCACCCTTTGGAAAGCATGGAGACCTGAAAATGAACCATAAACTTCCCTGCTCTGGACAATGGTTAGAACCGGAAGAGTACTGGGTGATGCTGAGAGAAAGAAATAGGTGCTCGCCCTATTGATGAAGTTAACTAGGTCCAGAGGGAGGCTCTATATTTTAGGATTACTTAGTCGGTTGTATGATGAAACTATTGCTGGTTTATATGTCTGTATATCAAAGGGTGTGATACTGGTGGGCGGCTCTCAAATAAATTCAATAAACAAGCAAACAAATAAATCTTCATTCTACAGCTATACTGTCACCTTTCCCTCATGAAATCATGCCCTGTCTCCTATGTGGAGTAAGCACTATGCATTCTTTCAGGAATAATTTGTCTCAAGGAATAAGAGGTGTTTGCAGGGGTGGGGGTGGCTTCTCTCCCTTCTTTTGCTACCATTTCTATCCAGTTTGCATGGATTTATTTGTGGCACAATATAATGTTAATAACAGTGACAACAGTGAGAGGAATTTGTGGAAGGAACCTGCATGTGAAACTGGAAGCAGGTGAACTAGTTCTAGTGGCCAAACCTATAATCTCCTGTTCCTATAATATTATTATTCCATAACTCACTCACGTTTTTTTTTTTTTTTTACTTAATGGCATCAGAAGTCAAGCTAATGGGTAAGTGGTCCTGCCTCTGTACAAGAAGGATGCTGGGTGAGCTTGATTTAGCAACCGTGGACCTACCAATAATATCAAGAGGAATGCCCAGGGATTATTATCATGGCCTTGGTACAATCTTGTTAAACAGCAGTCTCCCTGCATCCCAAGCACACACTATTGCCTGCTATGAATTTAACAAACTTTATTTTGAAAATTGGAGCATTGATTGGTATCCTTTTGTTGTTTTAGTTCTTTTTGCGCAAGTATCTTAGTATCCAATTTGTGTTCGTACCCAACATGTCAGTGGATTATCCATGGGTACATTGACAAGCACCCTTGGACCCCATTCCCTGTTCCTCATGTCCTTCCTTGTTCATCCAAGGTGCAAAACCCAGAGTCCAAATCTGGCCTTCTAGAGGTCCTGGTCCAGCTCCCTGGAATTTTCCGGAAAGCCACACCTCTTCTCCTTTCTTCACCCCATTCTCCCCAACCATCTATTGCTTGGTGACTTCCTAGATTTTATGCTGTTTTCTCCCATTCTAAGAGGTTGAAATGCCTCACAAGAATTTTATGCTAAATAGGCTGGAATACTTTGGTTGTTGTTCCTATCTTTTTGCCTTTGGTTCCACTCACCATAGGAATGTGCCACCGGAGAGGTTTTCTGCAAAGTAATTTGGCCCTCTGGCTGAAAGAGGTTCTGCATCTGAATTCTTCATGGTGTCTACATGACTCACTCATACCTATATGTCTCAACTTATGGGGCCTATACAAAAGCACTTCCGGTGAAGTTATTCATACCTGCACAACTGTGTAGGTGTGCAGTGAAAGTATATTCTGTGGTCCCACGGTTGAATCTCTCACATCAGCTCCACCTTTGTCACCACACATTTTCTCCAGGGAATATTTTTTTCCCCTTTCTATTCTTCCAAGTAATAAAAAGGATGGATTTTTTATTTTCCTTCCCAGAGCTTCAAAATCTGATGTGATTTATTTGTGGCTCCATTTGACAGTATCATTTGTTCCCACATGGATGACAAGGAAGGGGTACGTGTTAGATAGGTGATAGAAAGAAGGGATAGGCTTTATGAGCTTTGGCAATCTTTGGCTCACATCTCTAACCTGAGCTCCAGGAAGAAAGTAAACCTGGTGAGTTCCAGGGTCATTGCAACACACTTGGGTTTCAATCCAATGCAATAGGGAGTGTCCCACCATGGCTATTCTTCTGTTCTAGGTCAACTGTCTTTCTGCATCTTGCTTCCTGTGACACAGGTTCCCTTGTAATTCTTCCTCTGTAGACTGTCCCCAGTGCTGGAAAATGCTTATTTATTTATTGCATTTGTATTCCACCCCATAGCCAAAGGCTCTCTGGGCAGCTCAAGTTACTTAGCTCCAGTGGTTCCTCTGGAATAGAGTGTCTGCTGATTCTTCTGCTCCTCTTACCCTTATCCAGAGAGTTTCCTCTTCATTGGCTTTCCTCAGCATTCTCCAGATCTGCTTCAATTGCAAGTACTCAAAAGGTTGTTACACAGAGAAAGGTTAGGATTTCTTCTGGATCATCCCAGAGTGAAGGCTATGGAATAATGGGCTCAAGTTACAGGAAGCCAGATTCCAGCTGAACATCAGGAAGACTGACAGAGCAATGAGACAATGGAACCAATGACCTAGGGAGGTTGTGAGCTCTTTCACACTGGAGGCATTCAAGAGAAAGCTGGACAACTATCTGAGTGGGATGGTTTAACTTGGAGTCCTGGTCTTCTTGGACCCAATGACCTTCCAACTCTATTATCCTGTGATTCAAGATGGGCATTAACAGATATATCAGCAGAAGGAAGTTCTATACAAACCTGTGACTGTTTCGGAGAAGAACTCAAATGTTTCTGAAGTAACCTATAAAAACTGTGCTTGTAACAGAAGGGGGAGTTGCTCCCTGTTAACACATCGGCATGGTGATGTCAGTGAGCTGGTCAAGGACTTCTTCCACCATATTTTAGCATTAACAAAGTCTGCTTGGATTTTGACATTCCCTTAATTGGACGAGAGTTTCTTTAAATGTAAAGTTTTGCCATCCACACTTAGGTGTCTGAGTACATTCTCAGGAATCTCTGGAACAGATACGTGTTTTACTCACACATATATCCCCTATCACTATTATATCTCTAATCTAAATAGGACTCCACCATTTAAGTAGGTACACCAGAATCACTCATGTGTGGGCCTCATTTGGCCTGCTAGCCTCACACATGCAATTTCCAAGCCCCACCCTGGGAGGAATTCCACTTGCAGGGAATCTGAGCAATATTTCAGAGATAGCAGAAGTGGAGAGCAAGTGGCAGGCTGAGCTTGCTCTGGGAAGTCCACCACATGCTTCTCACTGCTGCCTGTGGGGAGGATGAGAGGTGTGTGGAGGAGGGGCCCATTCCACCTGGCATCTCCCACGGCCAACTGAGTCTGTTCATGAACAGTTTGCCATCCCCACAGGGGGGACAAGCAGCGTGTGGAATGAGGAACTTTAACCACACTAGGAGGGGTGGCTCCTTCTAGGGCCTGCCAAGTCTCTTTCTCTGTGCTGAGAAAAAGCACCGAACTTCCTGCCTCTCACCAGCATGGGCAAGGTGAAATAGGGGAGAGGGGATGTGAAGCAGCAGGTAAAAAGTTTTAAAAAGAGAATTCTGACCAAGCTAAAAGACACCTAGTCTTTGGGAGTCTGAGAGTGTACAAGGATAATTCATGCAATTGTTATTATCTGTCCTTTCACATGAGTATATTAAACAGAAATCTTTTGCTTGCTTATTTTGTACTTTGAGTAGAAACATGGACTCAGTAAATATTTATTTTAAAAAACAACAACAAAAGTTTGTATACTTTTATATCTTGGATTTTGCTACCCATCAATGTCTGTCTGCTATGCTAGACTAAAAGACAGAGAGGAATAAAATACTTTTATTTGTTGTGACTGTTTAGCCTAGAGGAACTTCTAGGAACTGGATCTTTGTCCCATAGTCAAGGGAGGGTGTTATTGCTGTTGAACCATCCAATGGTACTAGAGACTTGATTGTCTCACAGGAGAAGGTTAAACAAACTGAAGTGTTCAACTGCAAGACCTTCCACTGTTTTGTTGCTTTTGCTAGTAGCCAAGAGAAAATACTAACCCTGTCTTGGTCAGGACAAAATGAGCAAAAGCTCTGCCATAATATAGCTGCCAAAAACCTGACACTAAGAACAGCTTTAGACTTAAAGTGGGATCCTGATCTCATCAGGAACCCATGTTGCAAGTCTTACTCCTCACATGCACCTTAGATGTGCTAATCTATGCCTGTCCTGAAATGTTTTACAAAAGCATCCTGCAGAGACTCCATCTCTGTAGTCCCCTTGGGGGTTACCTTCATGCTGCATGCCTTTCCTGCATGTCTGAATAAACTGCAAATGTTCCTTTGGCTGTACGCCCTCAGTGTACTTGCTCTCTCTGGTTTTTCTTGTCATCTTAATGAGTAGCAAGGACAGAAAGTAAAATCAAAATCCTATTCATTGAAATCTAATAAACAGAGATTTCAACTTCAATAGAATATCCCATATCAAGTAAAGCCAAGTGTACACAATATGTTTCATTATACTTAACTCTCCACATGTGTTTGCTTGTACGCTTGTGTAACACCATTTATGATAATTAGTTTACATGTTCTTAGCCTGAGTCCTGGTGATCCGTAGCTCATGTCAGGCGGGGTGTGTACATCTGAGGTATGCTTTTGGCTCAGATTGATATATTGATTTATTTCAAACATCGTAACAGAACATCAGCACAAAGACCATTCACAAGTCTTTTCTTATTTCTCTAAATGATTGTTTAGAATAAGGCATGAAAGTAAATGCCGCAAGAAGAAAGTTAGCTTCTGCAGAACCAGCTGTGTCTGCCAGAAATGGCTGGCAGGAGCTAATTGGCCCTCTCAAGCTCTAAAGATGTTCTGACTTCAGTGGGTGTGTTTGTGGCAAGCGAGTACACACAGGCTATTTCACCAAGGGCTTGAATCCAGCCATCGTGACCTCAGCTAGCAGCACTGAAGGTGCTGACAAGCTTGGACTCTGTTCAACATATGATCTGTTCCAGATGTGGCCCAGAGAATGAGAGGGAGAGAAAATCATTCTCTCTCTGTGAAAACACAAAGCTTTGGGCGATGAAGACAGGGACCCAACTTGCTGGGTGTTTTTGGATCAGCAAATCACATCCATCTAAGAAGGCAAATGGAGGAAGCTGGGGAGGGGGAGACCCTTTACTTGGATGGTGCTGCTGTCCCTGGAGCCAAGGGCCTTGGGGAAAGTTTGGTTCTTCTTGATTTCCTCCTTGGATTGCTCCAAATACTTCATAGTGACCCAGCTTTTGCTTGCAACTCAAAGAGGTCCAAACTGGGATAGCAGCAGGGCAGGCAAGGGGCTAAGAGCCAGTGTGATAACAATGGATAGACTTATACCAAGCTGTGTGAGCCTTAAGTTTTACCTCCGCAGCAGATTTGTGATATAGCACCTGGTAGCACTTTCTCATCTATTAAATGGGGGTTTCTGGGTGGTTGAAAGGCAGATGCATACAAAACTTCACTGCAAAGCATTTTGCCATTTTAAAAGTGTGAAGTGCAATTGGTATGTGATAAGGGATGCCTAATTGTGTGAGTATGGCTTGATCACACAGAATTCTTATATTTATTTGGATTCTTGGCCTATGCTATACCCAAAGGCAAAACGCTGGTAGCAACATTAGAACAAGTTATTAAATTTGTGCACTCAAAAACCAAAATTAATCCAGACTGCTGCTCTTGGGAGAATAGAACTACAGGTAGTCCCTGGGTTACAAATGTCGGTATATGACTAACCCATACTTAACAAATGCTCTAAATCATATATGAGTATCTCTAACAAAAAGCTATGACAGTCTCTAGGGAACTACACAATGTGTTTGGTTGCATAGTTGCCTAGAGATAGCCACAGCTTTTCGTCATATTCATGGCTTTTCTTAGAGACAGAGATTCACTAGGGATAGTCATGACTATCTCTAAGAACTACATGATGTATCTCTAGGGAACTACGAGATGTGTTTGGTGACATGTCACCAGTGGCAGCCTATTTCCCTAGAGATCCAGTAATCAAGACTTTGCATCCTGGGTGTTGGCTCAAGCATACCCAAGCCCATGTTTTTAGGGCATGTGTAGTGCATGTAGTTCCCCTTTGGTTTTCCTTTAGCATTTTAGTAACCAAGCCCTCAGCTGCTACAAGGTCATTTATGGTGAGAAAAAGAAAATGGCTGTACAAACAACCATATTCCATGAAAGTGACTCTGGTGGTAACCCTGCACCCCTCACAATCAATCCTGGATTCTCTAGCACCAGGTCCATTTCAATGTTAGGCTTAAGGTTACCTCAAGAATGTTCGAAACTGTTTTGAGAAAGGTTTCCTTTGTTGGTTTTTTTTTTACAGTACTGTGTACCTACCCACATACACAAGTACATACAGATTCTGTCTCTCTCTCTCTTTTCTCCAGCACCTGTAGTTACTTTATTATTACAGTATTATATCATTATTACAATGCTGTACTGTTTTAGTGAATATGGAGGTGTTTCTTAAGTGTTTTATATGCATAGAATTGTAAAATATACACATATATTAAAATAAGCATTTGGCTTACTCCTGTGATCCAACTTACATATAAATTCAACTTACGAACATTCTCAAGAATGGAACTTGTCCATAACCTGGGAACTACCTGTACATATGTTTCTGTAAGTGTGGGTAATTTGTGCCAGAGTTTCCTTTTTTTACTCTTCCCTCTCTATCTCTTTCCCCTTGTATGTCATGGTTTTAGACAGAAGGCCGGGGGGCAGAAACTGCCTTATTAATTCCACATAAGCCACTTTGGGAGTTTTTTGGCTGGAGAATGGGGTATGAATGTAATTTTTTAAAATCATAAATAAGAAACTAAGTAATAACTTCTAGAAGTTGTCATTGTTTCACCTCAAAAAGAGTTACTCTGATCTTGCATTCATTACTCAACAGAAATTCAAATGAATTGACAAAGCTCACTTTTATTGTATAATCATAGGTTGCAGAATCTTGGAAATAGGTGTGGCCAGGGGGCGTGACTTTGATGGGGGCGTGGCTTGGGGTGTGGTTCTGACTGTCATGAAGGGACCCACCCACTTCTAAATTTGCCACTACACTGCTGGTTTCATATCAGTATTATGAAATTATCATGCAGCTAGTCAGAATTGGGCTTCAGTGCATCTTTGGAACAAGAGATACAATAGCTTTTATGAACTCAGCTTTAACTTCAACACCCATAAAGGAACACTTTGGTATAGTCTATGCAATAGGCAAATTGCTTTGCAGACTGTCTTGTGAGATAGTCCCTTCATTGTTTTTTACAGGTGAGAAAACCAATGCATGATATTGGGAGTGCTCACACAACACAACAACCCACAAGTCATACAAGTGTGGATTGTTTGCCCCAGGATCCATGAAGTACCTGACAGATAATTAGGCAGATAATGGATGAGTTCCTACCACCGCAGTGTGAATCCCTTCTGTGTTGGCATTAGAGGGACACCTTTAAACTGCGGGGTCACTAGAGACACCAAATCTCTCCCAAAGAAAATTGAGGATCATGCTGCAAAATGCAGGGACTAA